GTCTGACAAGAAGACATGGCAGAGGAAAGGGGAAATGTGTTTTGGGTTACTAAAGAGGTTTGAAACATTGTCTTTTTTTCTTCAGTTCATCTCTCTCAGTTGTCCCAGTTGATAAGTCAAGTTGTGTCGTTGTAACCAAATTAAATATTCATCTCCAAGACTAAAAGCGGCTTAATGACTAAAAGGGGATTAAGATCAAAGCAGCAACATTATTGATGATAAGTAAGGATATACTTTAGCAATATCAGTACAACCAAAGATAAACAAAAGTAACACTATGCAAAATTGTCTAGATTGGTTTGCGTCTTTCCAAGGGACATTTGATATCACTTATAAGCCAATAAATCATCCATCGGTTTTTTCACAAATCGAATGGAATCAGCAAGAACAAGAAACTAAGGAAAATGTTATATACTTATACACTCAAAAACAACTTTTTAATATTCAAACACACTCAAGAGAGGCCTTAGAATCTAACGTCCAAGGATCTTTTTTGGTCTCAGTCTTCCCCTTACCAGCTGGGTGCGAACAGCTTCTCTTTGCGCTCCTGCTCATGTTTACAGGTATAAGAACTCTTTTTCTACCATATCCTGCATCTTTGTTTTTGGTTGAATTCTCATCACTAAAAATGTAGATAGTATCAAAACAGTAGAGAAACGAGAACACTAGACTTACTAATTGTGGGATGCATGACTTGTGAGGTCGCAATGGATGATGATAGAAGCAACAACACTATGGCTAAATAAACACACTTTCTAACAATATAATCACTACTACATCCTCTTCTCTTCATTTTTTATTCTTTTTCTTTCTTATGTATATATGTAAGAGAATGAATTATGTAAAGAAGCGTATATATACACATAAAATCAAGTCTTTTTTTTTGTGACATAAAATCAAAAGTCTTTCATATCAATTATAAGTCAACGTCAACCATATCCTTGACGAGAGATCTCATCCACAATCCAAAATGGATTATTCAATATTTTGAAAAATGCAGAAATTATTGAAATGTAAGTAGAAATGTAAAAAGTGAGTTGGTTTTCTCTATTTATTCTCTTAGCAACGACAACGAAAATATTTAGACACAAACTAGATAGATTTTTCCCACTTAGGCAACTTATGTTGCTGGTTTAGTAGTCACTCTCCATTGTTACTCCATTTACGTGTCATCATGATTGGATTGGACTTGGTTCACAGAAGAAGAAACCCAGCTGATTCAGTTCTTGCAGCATAACCAAACTTAGATGTGTTGTATTTCCTATAAACACCTGTTAGCTTCCCTGTCCCTGCCTTGTGGTGGAAACCAACCATCTTCCTTGAACATTCCCTGTTTCGAAATCAATCATCAAAACCATTAACATTTTCAAATCGTAGTAAAAAGGCTTCTTTTCTTGATTTGGTGTTCTTACATAAGCTTTTCTTCAGTGTATCCTGTGTGGAACTCGCAGGTTTTGTTCCATTCCTCGAATCCTTTAATCGTGGATTGAGCAGTGTAGATCGCCGAAGCAGCTAACTGAGAAGGAGTGTACTGAAGCATCTCGTATTCCACTAGACAAAGCTCGATGATAAAGAACGATAAAAGCTCAAGCTGAAACAGAATTTTTCACAAATTATGATTACTGATTGATTCTTTTTATATATTCTAACAGAGAAAATTTTGATAAAAGTTTATTATATACAAACCTTTTTATCAGATTGTGCAGCTTTGAGAAACCTCCTCATGAACACATATGGAGTTGGTAGACAGAAATTGAATTGCAAAGTATTCGCCATTAACTTCTCCTACAAGAAAAAAAAAAAATCACAATGAATCATTTAAACATATAGAAGCATCCATGGTTATGACTTATGATCTCTAGTGAAAGATTTTACCATATCAAGAACTTCTCTCCTAGTGTAAGCCTTGTCTGAAATCAAGATGAGATCATCAACAACAGGAACTGAGACTTCCTCGTACTTGCAAGCAAGCAACATAGCTGTAACACCAACAAGCTGAAGCTTTTTCCTCGCGATATGATGATGAACCGCAAGAAATCTATCGATGAGATTGATTGTGAGGTAAAGGGTCTCCTCCATTAGCTCAAACTTGTAATGCACCTGGCACACAAATTTCACAATGCTGAGTTTGCTAAACTAATCTCTAACAAACAAAAAAACAGAGTAATTTCTGTTGTTTTATGTAATCTAATTACCTCAATCAACCAATCAACAAGGATTCCTCTCATTCTCTCGTTAAGGTCGGGTTGATTCTCCATGTAATTAGTCGGTACGCAGCTACGACACTGCAAAACCAATCGAATGGTTTCACAATCAATATCAAAGATCTTGAAACCAGAATGATCATTGAGAAAACACCAAAGTATTACCTCATTTTTCTTGTAGAAGTTGTAAATGTCATCGATATATTCGACTACAGCTAGAGGATTCTTCTTGTCACAGATGTCTATATCCATCACAGACTCTTGTTC